CCAGGGCTCCATGGGGACAGGACACCGAGATGGATCTACCAAGCCCTCCACTGAGCTCCTCCCTGGTGAGCTGAGTAGTTTGTAAACCACGGGCAAGGCATTCCAGTTAGCCTGGGACTCCAGTCCCAGCTGAGAGCCAGCAAAGGGAAGGGATATGCCTAGCCTAATGACAGCTAATAAGTTGATGAACTGTGGGATAATTTGACACTATGCAATACTTTTGCACTTCATACTTCTTCACTCTCTCTGTTCTCCAGTTCACCTCTGCCATTCTGCGGAGACTCTCAGTGGACACGCAACTGAAAATGAGAAGTTTCAGCAGCACTGCTCTTCTCTAATGAAAGCAGAGAGAGGGGAAAAAAGATGAGCCTGTGTGTAAACACCTGCTCCAGCCTTGAGGATTTTTAAAACTTACATTGCCCCTGAAATACCAATCTGGCCCAAACAACGCCTTTAACCAAACCTCCAACACCACACTTTAACCTGCTGCTTTAACGCTGAACAACAACACTGACTAGTGAGTTCACCCGTCTCAGTCACCATTATGGGGACAGGAAGGTAATCACAAGAACACCTCACATGTGTCGCTGACAATGTGGTTTTTATTTGGCTTCTCACATTACAAATGGCACCATTCCTAACAATGTCAGTGTAAAAGAGATAAAAAGTGCCAAATTCTCAGTAGCACGACATCCTGCGCAATCAGGTCTGAAAACTGTGTTGACAGCAAGCGTATTTATCCGTATCAGACGGGGTCTGGACACAATCATGGTATCACGCCTGTGTAGTAAACCCTTTCTTACTTATGCCACACAGTTGTTGCTTTACAACATTTTAAACTGTGTTTCCAATGGAAATTAAACATGCCGAGGCAGTCTGTGTCTCCACGCATCAGTGTTTGGCTGTCTGTTAGCCGATCGGTCGGACCATTCCCCCTGCCTCCATAATTTTGGAAAAGTCAATTAATTCCAGTCACACTTGACAAAGAGGTATATCCCTTACCACTGTTAAGCAAAGGGGGATGGATAGAGGAGAGCTGGCTCTCCATTAGGACCCTTATTGGGAAAGTCTTCGATGTGATATCAGTCCTTACTAGATATCAAAAAATCTGCCTGAGAATCTATTGTAGAGACCCAGATCTAGCAAAAAACGTCTCCAGTAAATCGGCTGACCAGATAAATCCCTGGTTTTAACTGTAGCAGCTGCTCATCTTCTCTAAGGACTAACTACATGTTAAGTGTTCCTCTTCCACTATTTCAGGTACCACAGTGCACAACAAACCTCATCTGATTCTTACATATGAAAAAAAAAAAAAAGGAAAAAAGAAAAAAATTTTTTAAAAAAAAAGGGAATCAGTGTGTGGTTTTTTTTCCTTGATAAGCTGAACAATAAAAAGCAGCTGCTTTGTGCACTTGCTTTCCCAAAGCGATCTCTGGTCTGAAGGAAGGTGCAGACTTCTCAATCTGAAGGACAAATGGGAAAAATGATGGTTAACATGAATAATCCATTGCAGCTGCAGCACTGGGGTTACCAAGAAGTTACTCACAGAGCACTTCGTTGCTTCAGCCGAGGACTTCTGTGCCAGAGTAAGCTGCATTCATTTTAAGAGTTCCTGGGAAAGGTGGGCTGTGCCCTGAGGATACATGCCATTACAGCTCCATCCTGGTGGGAGCCTCCAAGGTGCAACGACCACTGTCAGTGATTACCAGAGCAGGAGAACACACAGCCCAACCTCTCCCCGGCTCTTCTTCAATAGAGGCTGGCTGATCAGATTCCCCTGTTGCCCTCACAAAGGGTGGCCATACAGGAGTCTTCAGATGACTAGCAAGAGCATCCAAATGGCACCTCTTAGACTCCTGGTCCATGTCGTGCATGGTGAGGAAAGAGGTGTTGCACTCCAGGCCCCTGGCTAAGTGAGGGCTTGATGCTGGTTAACTGCAATGCTCTCCTAGAAATGGCCATGAGGATCCACTATTGCAACTTCCTTCAAAATGGCTCCGCCTGTGTCTTCAAATCACTGTTTTGTTCCAATACTATTTCTTTTTGCGGTCTAATATCTTCTGAGATCCAGTCTCTGGGGCTGGGCTGCCTGTGACTAAAAACTCGTCCTCCTCCCACACCCTTTTTCCACTACCTGAAACAAGAACCCTTTGTTGTTAAAGGAGGCCCCATCCTCCAAGTTTATAGAGTCCCTATAAAGGAACTGCCTGGAGAGTTGAGATTAGCCTCTGGCAACTTTTGGTCAGCAAAACCTGCTTGCCAGACCTGCGCTTGGGCCTTGAGCTGCTCTAGGAGAGAAAGGTGAGGAGCACGGAGCGTGGTGACCCCTGTGTGTATAAAAGGAGATTCTCATCGTCTGGTCCTACACCAGTGACCATCTTGGTGCAGCCCCAGACCAGACAGGAAACATGATGTGCTGCACTTCAGAGAATTGTATTTGTGTATGGAAAGAGAGAGGTGTGCAGGGACACATATGCATGTGCATGTCCGGTGAACTGGTCAACTGGGCTGTGGATTTGTGTTTGTGCATCTGTCTTGCCTTGGGATGTGAAGGCAAAGTGTGCTGGGGAAGATGTCTACCTGTGACAGAAGGATCTTCTAAAACTAAACGTGCCCCACAGGGTCTATGAGGGGTTATCCCTCTGTGAAAATGAGGGCACATTAAGTGTTGGAAGAAGGTGGACACACTTTTTGCATCCCTGTCTGGCCTGTTGAATGGACGAGCTGTGCCAAACAGGCACTGCAGCTATTGCAGGGTGGTGTGGCCTGTCTGGAGTAGCTGCAAGGCTCAGGTTAGAGGCAATGATTCTTCTTTCCGTGGAGCGAGTGGGGTGCTCAGCTGGGTAGGGAGGCCGCGGGATGCATGTTCCTGTGGTGTGACACCATCTGCAAGCGTGAGGGTTGTGCCTCAAGCTTGCTGACACTCAGCACTGCCCTCGTTCCACTCCCGCTATGACCCAGGATGGATCCTCTGAAACTAGGGCACTGATGTGGAGGCTGGTTTCATTCTGGTGTTGCTTAGGTCAATGACTCGAGTTATTTTTCACAAAGTGGTCCATGGTATTTCTACTGCAGATTGACTCGTATTCACGGTTTCCAAGTGATCTGTGCATGTGTGCAGACCTTGAGAGTGATATGAGTGATCTGTTTGGGTGTCTGAAAAAGGAAGCTATGGGTCTCTTGCCAGTGTCCGAAGAGGACAGGTCCTTCTCTCTCTCTCTATTTTGCTTCCCAGCAATAGTTACAAACTGGTCCCAGTATATCTGAGCACTGCAAGCTAACACCTGATCCCTCCACCCTTGTTTCTGCACCTATTGCTTTACCAGCAGGAAGTAGGACGTGGTTTGGGGCTTTTTATTCTTGGCCTTGCTAGCCTTTTCGATACTTCGGGGCCTCGTCTCAATGTGAAAAGGCAAGCAAGCGGCAGCTTCCTGTGCAAAGGTGAGAGAGAAGACAGACAGAGACGGTGCACGTACAAGAGGAACGGCTCCGCAGCAGAACTGCCGGGCTGGAGGCATCTCTCCTCTTGTGCCAGCAGCACTGGCTGACACCTGGACGTGCACTGAGCTACGATATCCGCCTCCATCCCTCTCTCCCTTTCCCCTATCCCCGTTCCCTTCACTGTTTGATGTGCAGCACCTGCTTCCATCCAACCCCACGACCTGGTCCCCAGGGACTCCCTTCGTCTGGACCACTCGGTACCTGGAGCTGGAAGGTAAAGGGGATGATGCCAGCTCTCGCCCCACGGGGGTGGCTGATCTGAAAAGCGTCTTGGAAGGAGTTTCGGTCTGACAAACTGAATCTCGCCGTTGGGGAGGGCTGAGCATGTATTTATCTCTCTGTCTCTCCACAATCCTCTCAAATCATACCCCACATCTCACAACCATGCCGCCTGCTTTCTCTCTCTCTCTCTCTCCCCCCTCTTTGTCTGTTAATGTGTTGTCATCATGTTTTTCTTCCTCTGAACCTAATCTTTTATCACAACGGGAATCGATATTATGCCTCATGCCAGCCCTTTATAAACCCTCTCTTCCTGCTCCCCAGTCAGTCCCAGCAGGACTCTGTCTTGTTTTGCTCAGCTCTGCTTGGGCTCCAGGCTTGCTGAGAGGTAAGGGTGGTCCCTTCTCCTGAGGCAGACCTCAAGGTACGGGTGTCCAGGTGGATGGGAAGAGGGGGAGGCTTGGGTAAGAAGCCCGTAACCCCAGTCTGTCTAATATGGAGTGTGGCTGTACAGGCTTTGTAAGACAAGGAATCTCCCTGGGTGCCACGAGTGGATGAGGGGTGCTAATGAGGTTTCCTAATTACAAAGCCCAAATTTTCTGCTACATCTAGAAGCACGGCTCTTTCCAAGGCAGCGCAAGGTCTACTTGGCAAGGATGGTGCATGGTTTGTGCGTGACTATATAATATTTTGTGATATGGTAAAGCCTTGACTTTCCAGAACCTGGTAAACTCCTTCTCCCTGATTTCCCCCCTCCTGTCTCAAACAAACCATTCAAAATCTACCTCCTAAGCCACAAGCTCTGCAACTAATTTTTGTCAGTTGCAGCCAGAGACCCCTCTTACTCAGCAAGCACCTAGTTATTTCAGCCCTAAGGCTTACCAAAAAAAGAAGCTCTTCAAAGCACAAGGCGTGCGCAACCAAGGCAGCATTCTCTACCTGAGTCAGCAAGCAGCCTGAAACAACACACGTGGACTGCTGTGCACTCACACACACATTTCCAGAAGGCATCACTCCTGCAAACAGCCTATCTGTGCTGCACTGCAAACGGTTTCAGTGCTGAGCAAAGCACCCAAGGCAGGAAAACAATGAGATGCTGAGGAAAAAGTACAGACTCCAGAGTGGAAGGGGTATGAGTTTCTGAGCCTGGAAGACCGGCACTGGCTTTGAGCCCTGCCCTAGGACAGTGGATGCCTCCCATGAGATGACATCTTCCTAATTTGCATTGATGAGCTATGTTGGGGGGGTGTCTTCTCTCTTTCAGTGTGTCACCGGTACAGATGAAGCCCTCTTTGCTGCTTCTGTGTCATCTCTGGCTCTTCAGTCTCAAGCCTCTCTCAGGGGCATCGGACTTGGCGCAAGGTAAGAAGTGATTCCCTTCACTTGTGCCAGCTGGGTGAGCAGGGAGGGGGGTCAGCTGGAGGAGTGTGTGTGGCCACGGTGTGTTGCTGTGCAATGCTCGTGTTGTAACATACAGCCAGAGAAGGTTGCAATAGTTACAGGTCTTTTATGAGCACATCAACCTCCAAGGACATAGAGAAGTAAGTGGCTCTGCCGTTCTTACTTGGAGACAGTTACCCAGCAGAGGAGTCAGTCTGTAGTTTGGGATGGCGTAGATTGTCCAGTGTGATGGTTAATGCCAAAAATCGCTAATTCAGGCACGTTGCTGTCTGTCTCTTCTCTGCTGGCAGGCACCTCCAGCCTAACTTGTTGGTATGACTCACGGGCAGCTCTCTTCTGCAGCTGGAACCCAGGCAGGGACCTGGTTGAAGCACCGTGCCAACTGGAGATTTTATCGAAGTTACCATTTTGTGACAGGTGGGTGACTGAAGAGGCTGAGGAAAACCAATACTTTGAATGAAAAGTGTCCAGGAAAGTTTACCACTTAACAAAAACGTAGGCTCCTTGTCCCCAGGCCAGGTATAGTGGAGTCAGAGAGCCGAGGGGCTTTGTCTTGAACTCTGTCTCTAACCCCATGTGGGCTGAGATGCTGGCCACTGCTTAATGTTTGTCATCTGATGGGCCCAAACTGTCTAGCACAGCCCGTCATCCAGCTCCATACCTCTGTCTATGCTTCATTTTCCAAAAAATCCCTCTTCCTGGGTAGCCACCCTCTGGACTGAAAGGCATTTTCAATAGAAAAGGACGCTGTATAGAGGTGGGGACAGAGGAGGGTGGAATTAAAGTTACACAGAGGCCATTTGCCCATGGCCGGGATGAGCTGGGATGTTGCACCCTGAATAACAATAAATGAAGGAAAATATTGTTCCCCTTATCTCCCCTGGCCCTTTCATCTCTCTCAGTTCATGATGTTTTCCTCTCCCACACGTCTCCCAGCAGAGGGGTAGGTGTGTGGCCAGTACCACAGTGGGGGCTGGCTGAGTCTCTGTGGTCTCCATGTATGACATCTCCAGCCAAGAGACTTACCAGCCTTCCCTAGGGCTTCCCTGGGTGCCTGTCATAAGGAGAGGCTCAGAATGATTCTGGCAATGAGTGGGTTGCTTGTGACCATCAGAGACACCTCCAATGGGGTGAGATGGGCAAATACATTCTGGCGACTGGTGCATGGACCTAGAAAGCCAAAACATTTATGTTGTTCCGTGGGTGTGAATCACAAGAGACTGGGGCTGGAATTTGGGCTGGATTTAGAACTGTGCCGTTGCTTGACCAGGGCTCTAGGACACCACCTCTCCCCACCAGCAGCAAGTCCCAGGCTTGATCTGACCTTGCAGCTGGAGCACGCAGCTCAGTCTGATAGCTCATCAGCTGCAACGCCATAGATGCTTTCCCACCTTGTCACCCCGTGTGCCATAGCTCAGCTTAGGCTGTCCAACCACACTTGTCAGAGCAGAAGAGAGGTCATGGCCCAGCGCTGCCAAGTGTGACATACAGTCCTGGCTGACTGAGATGTGACCTGGTGCAGAAGATACATCTCGCTCGGTATCTGAGATCCTACAGGACAGTCAGTGGCTTGAAGGAGACGTGTAAACCCTAGAGGGGCTGAAACAGGCACCTGTCTTCCAGGGCCACGTTGGTGCAGTTGTGGGCAGCAGATATATTTGGGCTCTGCATGCCCTCTGATATCAACAGCTAGCAGAGAAAGCAGCAAGAGGGTTTTCTGAAGACTTGGAAACTGGAAACCTACTGTTATCTTTGGCTTGAAATAACTGGGATGCATTGACTCTCCATGTGCCAGCACATAAAATTTGTCTGAGGGATGCAGCAGGGAGAGAAAGTGGGATTACATCCTTGCTGTAACCTGTTCAGCAAATATGGTAGGATGCAAAATGCTTTGAAAGGCCTTTAGTGTTACATACAGCTTGACTGAATACAAAACAGCCTCACCTGGTCACTGGAGTTCTCCTTAAAATCCAGGTTATCTCCCTTACCTGAGCACTGTGAATTACCCAAGGCAGAACACACGACCGGACTGAGAAGATGCATCAAGACCTTCAGCAAAAACAGTAATGTGAGTAATTCATCTGGGATGTCCTGGCTAATGACAGGGTGGAAAGGATTTGTATGTGGATTTGAGGTGTATAAACAGTGTGACACCCGGGAGCAATACAAAAAGCCCAAACCTAATCCCTGACTCTAGTTCTGGAGTCAGGCTTGATGTTGTGTGCTCTTTATACACGTTGCCGCTGTGGGTTCCCCTCCAGGAGGGACTGGCTTCATTGTGAGCTGGGCCATGCTGTCCTGATACATGCAGAAGAGGTGCAGGACAGACAGATCACATGCAGTGTCCCATGTCTCAGTTACCTGGGTTTGGCCCTAATCCCTTCCCCTGAGGAGGGATGGACATCACCACCAGCTCTGAAGTCACCTCTTGACTTCATTTTCCTTGAAGAGGTCAGTACCATTTTCCAGATCATTAACTACTGGGAAGTCTGGTTAGGTGTGTCAAATGCAAGATGCAAAAGCTACACATCACTGGAGCTAATATTGATGCCAATCTTCTAGCTATTATTCTTTATTTAAATCAGTCTTTTTTTTAGACTCATTATGTACTACCTTCAATCATATCCACGGTTACTGTAGTCCTTGTGTTTTCCGGAAAAAAACCCACTCAAATACCAACTAATTCTCCTTATTGACAAAGTTACAACCAGTTCTAATGACAGACAAGCTTCCTTACATTTGCACATCATGTGCAAAGACAAATTGCAGGGTTGGTAAACAGTTCCGAAATCTTTTCTTTCTAATCAAGCTAATTGCCCTATTGCTTATTTAATACTACATGATCTATGTGGCCCTTTAGTGTCATTGCATTTCAGGAGTAATATTTAATACTAATGTCGTCTCAATCTTACCAATGAACACAAAATGTTTCAGTAAAAATATCTTTTCTCAATAAATGTCACTCATAGAAAGTAACTTTTTTCCTGCTTAGTCAGCACATACAGCAATCCTAGAAAACTAGCGTATCACAATATTTTGTGACCTTCTGCCAGTGAACAAAAAAAATCCAACCACATGAAGTATAAATCTTTGGTTTCTCATTCACCACTGAGGCTTATGCCTTTCAGCCTTTCCATATTTATTGTCAAGCATTCCTAAACCCCTTATACATAGGCAATGCTTAGAAATATGAATGTTTATCGATGAGGCTTCAGTGTCACTAATGGTAAATTTTCCTTGCAGGCTCAATGCTTCACCACCGCAGACCGTCTTAACCTGTCTGTCCGTTGCCAGATTGGAGAGAATACATCTATACCTGTGCAAATACGAGACTTCAGCCCACTTGCAAATAGTGAGTACTCATCTGTCTTGCAGTCTCTGAATCTTCCCCATGAAACGATAGCTAATTTCTCCTCCCCATCCACCCCTATGCCACAACTATAGCTGATTTTGTGTCTTTTCCTTGTCCCCTGCTACAACTAGCACAGGTGAACCGTGTTGACTCGTGCCACTTGCACCTCTAACATGCAGTGTCATGCCAGCCCCCTCCTGTCCTGTCCCGTATCTGGGACGCTGTTAAATGAGAGTGCTTTGCACTAGGAGTTCTGCCTTCAAACAGGCAATGACAGCTCAGCTGACCTCCAGAAAAATGCATGCTGCAAGAAGGAGGGAAGGTCTTGCTGCTTTTCCCCTGCCCCTCCTACCAGACGTGTGCTTCCACGCTCCTTTAAGCCAGCTTTGGCATGCATCAGTCTTTGCTGAAACGATTCAAATCACTAATCCAGCAGAAAAACATCCACTTGGGTCATTTTTTTTTTTTGCTGGATGTGTGAGTTTACCTGGCTCAAGGAGAGATCCAATAGAGCTGCTGCAAAGTGAGGCATACCAAGGTATGGCTGGAGTCAGAGATTGGGAAGGATGAGCCTAGACAGTCTGTGTAACTCCATCCCCTGTGACTGTAGCTCTCTGAAAGAGTAGCTGGGAAGCAGCTGTCTCCCCAGCCACGCTCCATTCCTGTCCGTGCAATTGCCTTGTGGGTCACCCCTACAAGATAGGATGCACGGCCATGTGGGATTGATTGCACTGACTGCAGGAGCCACACTCACAGGCTCACAGGAGGAGCTGCCTTTAAGGCAGTCCAGAGACAACAGGCTTTTTGCCATCAGTGACAGTGGGGAAGAAGGATGATCACAGAGGGGGGACTCACTAACCGTCTCACGTGGCCGTGGCTGGCTGGAGTCTGCGAGCACAGCCAAGACACCAGCCCTGCTGCAGTGGGGTTTGTGATGGAGTCCTGTTATGGACAGAGAGTGTTGAGGTATCAGCCCTGTTCCTTCTCTCTTTCCAGTAAAGCTGAGGCCTCCGGGAAATCTCCAGCTGGTTAGCAAAACTGAAAACACCTACAATTTTACATGGAGCCTGAATATTTCATCTCACTATTTGGATGGGGAAAGGGAATACCAAGTGCGGTACCGAACCACGAGTCAGTCCTGGGAGGTGAGTACAGGGGTGGGGTACTGGGACCTGTCTGGTCTTCTTTACATCACCTAGGTCTTGCTCCTAGGCTTCCCCTCAGGATGAAACCAGTTTTGATGAAGCTTGAGTGGATGACACCCCCTTCCCCTTTTATCTGTGTCACCTATGCCAGTGTTTGGTGATGACATGGAGGCAGATGGGGATCCTATTTTACTTAGTGCTGTCACAAAGAAATCCAGACAGCTCAGGGACAGACCCGAAAGGGATGAAAAAAGCAAAGAGAAGAAGAATTTTCCTCCAGGGTGAACAAGCGGTGCACAAAGTGTAGTGATCTGAGACAGGTCCTCTGTGAGGGCCTTGGAAGAGATGGGTACGTGAGGCTGTAAGCCAGGGTGTTGATGATGCTCTAATTTTGCCCTACTCCCAGGAGGCCAGGAACTTCACCATTCTGCAGGACCAGATGTGGATGGTGTTTCAGAGCCTCTCACCCAACTTGAAATATGAGGCAGCGGTCCGTGCAAGGCCAAGTGCCTCGAGCACCTACAAAGGCGTGTGGAGCGACTGGAGTGAGACGATACTGTGGAGGACACATGCTGACCGTAAGGATCAGAGTCAGGCAGTCTGACTTGGAGGGGAAAATGGGGACTCAGGGAAAACAAGGTAGAAGGATCAAAGCAGCCTGAGAAGCTGGAGGAAGATGGGTAGGGAGGACTGTGATGACCAAAGAGCAATAGAAAGGTTCAAAACAATCTGTCCCTCCTAATCTGTTAGGTCAGGCTGTCTCAACAGAACTTAAGGGCAAAGACCTCCTCACCCCAACAGAGCCTCTCTAGCTTCCAGAAGCCAGGCAAAATCCACAAGATGTAAATCAGGGACTGCTTCCCCAGAGCAGTAAGGCCAGATGTCTGACTTGTGGCCAGGACTGGCATTTTCCCAGGTGCTAACGTGACCTAGGAGCATAAATCCAGCTTTCTAAAATGGCCCAGTTCATCGGAGCCATTGATCAGTGAAATGCAGTGAAACAGAGTGCTCAGCTCCTGAACCAAAGGACACCTGAGCCTAGGAAGCAAAGTCTCACTGAGGATGAAAGAGACTTACACGCATGTTAAGTCCCTTCTGAAAAGGTCTGCTGAGACTTGCATCAGTCATTGCCATGAACCACAGCACGGAGGACACCTCCAGCCTTGAAAGATGGTGCCCTGAGCAAGTCTCTTTGGTGACTCATTGGCTGTGGTCTCTGCCATTTCTTTTCCAAAAAATAAGCAGATAGAGGTTATTTCTTCTCATGTCACCCCCACTCTGCCCCTGCTCAGCCCCTCCCTGTTATGCCTGGTGCTGGTATAAACAGAGGAGCTATGTTTAGAAAGGGCACTGTGTTGCTGTGGCGATCAAATTTTGACAGTATGTGATGTCAATGAATAGGATACAGCCGCAACCAGTTGTCATAGCAACCAAGACCCAAAGATAACCAGGGTACCAGAGGCGGAGGAGACAAAGTGACCTGAGTAGCATCTCAAGGACAGGCAAAGAAAAAATGTCTCCTAAAAATGTCTCCTCCTTTTATTTTTCTCTGCTCCCTCACAGCTACTCCAGAGATGCTCTGCAGGCCCAGACCAAGGGACACTAGGGATGGAGGGAGATGAGGGGGCAGGCAGAAGAGACAGGCACCAGAATAGCAAGACCAAGCAAAGGTGCACTGGGGAGATGTGTGTGAAAGAGACAGATTAAGAAAAGTTTGAGATGATGCCAGACAAGCCTGAGGAGTGCTGGCAGCACTGCCAATGTGGGAACTCAGTCTCTTTCTCCTAACCCTGCAATCCAAGTACTAAAATATGGTGGAAAGCTGTAACCTTCCTAGCCTCCTAAAGCTTTCCTACACCTCTCCAAAGAAAGAAGCCAGCCCCTTGACCCCTAGCCTTCTCAATCCTTGGTCCTCCTGCCTTCTCAAAGACCCATGAACCCCATGACTCAGTTTCCCCAACTGACTCATAATGCTGTTTCAAGTCTCCAATCCCACTCAAGCTGGTTTTAGGACTCCCTGGTTTCCTTTGCAATGAGACAGACAGGTTGATGGTCATTTCAACCAGTAGACTGTGGCACCTCATCTGTGGCAACCCCCAGCCATGGTGCTATTACAAACAGGGAGTTCAAGCTGTTCAGCACAAAATATCTGTTAAGCAATGCCAAGTAGACTCTGAAACCCATATCTGCTCAAAGGCATCCTACACAACACAGCAGAACTCATTTATCTGACGTGTATATTATAATTTTATATAAATTT